TTTTTCTCCCTAACAGGATCAGGCCGAAATCTCTGGGGTTCAGGTGTACTGTTCTCATCTGCAATCAGTGCCTCATAGAAAGCCCGTGTTGGAGCCCCATCCAGGGTGGGTTCTGGCTTTTCAGGCTCTGATTGCTGTTGCCCATCGTTCCATAGGTCACTGGGGTCAGTGGCTGGGGTGAATGTGATGAGGGAAGGCCTGGACATGGCTTTTGGGAAAATGTAGACAAAAGAAGGATAAACAAGCAACGTAACCCGATGGCCTCTCTTTCTCCCAGCAGATCCTTGTAGTACCACCTCCAGGGATCTGCTGGGAGAAAGGGAGGCCTTGGATGAACAACACCCTACTGCCCCAAAACTTGACTCCACAACCTAAAGCCCTGCAAGACTTAAGGGTCCTGGGTCACATGTAAAAACAGTGACCCTAGAATAATAGACCCGGCCCCTTAGTAAAGATTACTAAAACTCTATGAGGGATTAGACGTGTGGATCTACATAGATGGCAGAGCTCTTGCAAATGTAAAACCCTGGATTCAATATGCAGCACTGAGAAGAAAAAAAAAATCTCTAATACATACCACTAAGGAAACTCAAACCAGCCCTTTAATTCTTGCTCGATCCTATTTCGAGATCTCCTGTTTCCAAACAAAAATAGACGTGACATTTTTCTGCAGTATCTCCAGAAAATGGGAAAGGCTCCTGCCTGCGTTGCTCTGTAGGTTGCTTTGTAGGTTCCCTACCTTAAAATGGCGCTATTCTAATCTAAAGAGTTGACAAACAGCCACAGGGCACGGCACAGCACGGCACGCATGTGTGACTGCGCTGAAACCTTTTGCATCGCGTGCCTAACTAGCGTCCTACTTTTACATAACGCTCCCACAATGCCCTTCGCGGCCCTCGATGTGGCCCCCACCTACAAGTTCATTTCCTGGAGCTGGGAAACCATTCTCCGGTTTAACAAAGGCCCTGAGGAGCCAGAAGGAAACCTGTGGAATGCCGAGAAGCTGTGAAATGAAATAATGTCACGTCGCCCCTCACCATTACTCTGACCAGGGTTCGAAGAACACACTTAAGATCCCGCAGCAGAACACTCCATTCAAGCCCTAAGAGGAAATGGAGAAGTCCAAAGGGACGAGCAGCAGAAAGGCTGGCGCCACCTCAGGTTCTCACACCACTCACTCAGCTCAGCCTAAGCACACCCCATCCAAGTCCCTCAGAATGGAGCCGGTCACACCTCCTGGCCTTATGCCAAATCCGGTCCGTCAGGGGATCTAGTGGCGGGTCCCACTGGGAGGAGAAACCTGACTGGCAATAGGGGCCCAGTGGATAGACCTAGAATTGAGTGCATCCGGAGGGCTGTAGCGCTGAGCTGGGACTTGAGGGGAAAAAGCTGTATTTCATGTTTATATCAGTTTGTATCCTTTAATGATGCCCCATCCTCCATCCACCAATCTTAATTGTTTCTTCAGAAATCCTCCTCATATTTATTCTTATTAACAGAATATCAGCAAAAATTTCTGCAAAGAGTTCATGATTTGGAATTTACTATTTGTGGGGGCTCAGTGTTTACTCTGGCTTGCAAAAGCTAAATTGTCATACAAGAATTGTTATTTCTGCTTTCTGTGGTAAAGACTTTTGAAACCTCTGTCTACTCTAAAAAATTGGAATAAAAAGTACTTTTTTAAATTTCAGTGAACTTTTAAATTCCTTCTCCCATTGGGTATAAAGTTCAAAGAATTCCCAGACTTATGGTCCAGAAATTTTTAGGTGATAGTCGCTCTTGAGCCCTACAGCTCATAAACCTACTTCCTGCTAATTCCGTGTGTCCAGCCTCATCAGTCCTACATCATCCTCAGTAAAAATAGATGAGAGGGCTGGGGTTGTGGCTCAGTGGTAGAACACTCACCTAACACATGCGAGGCCCTAGGTTCAGTCCTTAGCACCACATTAAAAATAAATAAATAAAAGTACTGTGCCCAGCTACAAATAAAAAAAATCAACATAAAAAAAAAGAACAGATGAGAGTGTCATATTTACTTCTTATTGCTATTAGTTTTGTTATTAGAAACAAGTCATTGCTTCCTTTTGGGATTTGCTTTTCTAGTGTAAGCACAGTTGAACATTTTTTTTAAAGATTAGAAGAGTCCCTTATGTGCTTTTTCTGTATATTATTAATCCCCCCCCGATTATTCAGTATTAGTTTTTTGTTTGTTTTTTGTGCTGCTGTGGATCAACCCAGAACCACTGAGCTATATTTCCAACACTTTTTAAAATTATTATTATTTTTTGGGTACTGGGGATTTAACCCAGGGGCAATTTACCTTTGAGCTGTATCCTCAAACAGCCCCCTCTTTGTTCTTACTTTTTATTTTGAGACATATTCTTGCTAAATTGTTTAGGATCTTGCCAAGTTGCTGAGGCTGGCTTCTAATGTGTGATCCTCATCTCAGCTTGCTGAGTTAACAGGATTATAGGAATATACCATTGTGCCTATCTTGCAATAATTTTTGTTTTTTTGTTTTTGGTTCTGGGGATTAAACTGACCATTGAGCCACATCCCCAGCCCTATTTTGTATTTTATTGAGAGACAGGGTCTCACTGAGTTGCTAGCATCTCACTCTTGCTGAGGCTGGCTTTGAACTCAGATCCTCCTGCCTCAGCCTCCTGAGCCACTGGAGTTACTAGTGTGGGCATCTGGGCCTGGTTTGCATTAGTTTCTTAACTGATCCCTTGACTGTTCTTCCTCTTACAAAGAAAAAACTTGCATTGTTTTTAGTTTTTGTTATTTGTTATTATTTTTCTCAGTACCTGTAAATATGCTTCTAGAGTTCTGGAAAGAGGGATTGGAATTAATACTCTTTGATAACCCAAGACTGATAAGAAAAACTTGATTACTTGAAAGTAGTTTTTATTTTTATTTCTGATATATCTGAGGAATTTGTCATGATCTTGTTAGTAAATAATGCATTATTGTGGTGATTTGAGAAAAGAGAAAATTGCTTACAGTATGAAGCAAGTGAAATTTCATTGTCACATTTATTTCTGAGGCCTTCCCCTACGACTGGATAGAGCCAAAATGGATTAATATAGTCTTAAGAATATGTTCAATTTGCTAGAACAACCATAATAAATTTTATTTGTAAAAAAAAAAAACACAAACACTTATTTATATATGTCTAAATTATTTAAAAGTAAATTCAGCCTTTTAATTATTTTTTAGTGATGGTGATTTGGTACTAAATATGCTCTCTAGATAGATAGAGTAGAAGAGAATGAAAACTGTGCTAACTGAATTTAAATTTTTGAAATGGGAGACTCTAATGTTGTGCAAGCTGATTTTTAAACTCTTTGACTCAAGTTATCCTCCTACTTTAGCTTCATGAGGTGCTAGGACTCCAGACCCACATCACCATACTTATCTTTTTTTTTTTTTTAAAGTTCTGGATGGACACAATACCTTTATTTGTTTATTTTTATGTGATGCTGAGGATCAAACCCAGTGCCTCACAGGCAAGCAAACTACTACTGAGCTGTAACTCCAGCACCGCTCAGTTCTTTTTTAAATTTAAATTTTACTCTTAAGGATGGTTGAGTTTTCCAGGACTAGAGAGGGTCTTTAAACTTATTGAGGAATTATATATTGAATTAGGTACTTAAAAGCTTTTTGTTTGAAGTGTCTTTTTTATTCAAAGGAGGAAAAAATGAAGGCATTTTATATATAAGAGAACAATCTATTTTCTCAACAGACTCTTCTGAGTAAGATAAAATATTTGGATAGTAATAGGATATTATCTTTGTTCCTTTATTGGATAGTTTATCTTGGATGGTTTTTTAGAGGCATCACAGCTGAGAGTCTTCCTTAAAGTGTTCTCAGATCTAAGAAATCATGTATTTCCCATGTTAGTAGTCCCTTTGAAGATAAAACTTATGTTTAATTTTTTTCTTTTGTTGCGTTGGAGATCAAACCCAGGGCTTTGTGCATGTGAAGCAAGCACTCTACCAACTAAGCTATATCCCCAGCCTGAACATGTGGTTCCTTAGACTTTTTTTTTCTTATATAGAGAGAATTTTTTAATTCTTTTTTTTTTTTTTTTTTTTTTAGTTTTTGGTGGACACAACATCTTTGTTTCTTGTATGTGGTGCTAAGGATCGAACCTGGGCACGTATGCATGCCAGGCAAGTGTGCTACCACTTGAGCCACATCCCCAGCCCCACATGTGGTTCTTTAAGAGTTACTTTTCTCTGTTAAAAAAAAAAGAAGTATGAGACTGTATCTATATGTATGGGGGCATGTAGTATTGGAGCTTGAAATATATGAAGAGAAAGGTATGTTTTAAAACAGAAAGATTTATGTTATTCTAGAAGGTGATATAGTTTCTGACAAATTATAGCTGATGAATACAAATGGTAGTTGCTATTAGTCCATAGCAACTCTGAGTGCATTGCAAATCACAAATGAGTTATATTTGTAATTTAAAATTTTATAAATATTTTACTATGATCATCAAATTATTGAGTTTTTTTATATGAAATTTTTGGAATATTTGTATGACATTTCATTTACAGCTCATCTCAATTTGAGTCACCATTTTTCAAATATTCAAATATTACATATAGCTAGTGTCTACTGAGTTTTTAATAAAGTTCTTTCAGTATCTGAAAGTAGTTTTACTGTATGGACAAGGACTTAAGTAACAATTTAGATTTGCTACTTTTTAAGTTATTAAGGTGTTTCTAGACTGTTTTATTGGGCAGTTCTTTGTTTAGATGGGAAGTCACTTACAGCATGACTGCTGGCTCCATTAATACTGGAAAAGCTGTTTTATTCAAGAGTAATGTGTTACTTCATCCCAAGTTTTTGATAGAAAATGACATTTATTGATTGAGTTTGATTTCTTTAGTAATTGTAACATGTATGCTTTCTTTCAGGAAGGAAATGCTATCTAGGGTTTTATTGTTTTAAAAATGTTTATATTTTTCATTTCTAGGCTGTTCACTGCTACGAATCTTTAATATTAAAAGCGGAAGGAAAAGTGGAGTCTGATTTCTTTTGTCAATTAGGTCACTTCAACCTCTTATTGGAAGATTATTCAAAAGGTAATGATATTTTTTTCTCTTCCATTTTTTTGCTTGATTTATGTTTGCATCATGTAATTGTAATGGTTTTTATTTTTAACCAAGGCCACTTCCTACTGTCTTCTTACTCTCTTCTAAGCAGCTCATAACTTAGTAAGCAATGAGAAAAAAGAGTAGATGGAAATGTGAATTTTTTTGTACCTCAATGTAATTATTTAAGGAACCTGATGATTCAGCAAAATTTATATAATATCCTACGTGTCTGTTGCTCTTTGTTTGTCCTTGTGAAAATTTATGTTCTTTTATCATAGTAGAAAGAGAACAAATTCAATATATATTTTTTATTATTTATTCTTTAGTTGTAGGTGGACATAATATTTTTATTTTATTTTTATGTGGTGCTGAGAATCGAATCCAGTGCCTCAGATATGTGAGACAGGTGCGCTACCACTTGAGCCACATCCCCAGCCCTCAATATTTTTGTCTGTGTGTGCAAATGTAGAAATTTTGGGCAGCTGATGGTACAGCTCAGTTGGTAGAGTGCTTGCCTTGCATGCACAAGGCCCTGGGTTCAGTTCCTAGCATCACACACCTACACAAAACAAATGCAGATTGACTTTAAAAAAAATTTCCATTTGGGGGCTGGGGCAATGGCTCAGTGGCAGAGCACTTGCCTGGCATATGTGAGGAACTGAGTTGGATCCTCAGCACCGCATATAAATAAATAATAAAGGTACATCAAGAACTAAAAAACATTAAAAATTTTTTTTTCCATTTTATCTGGGCATAGTGGTGCCCATAATTCCAGCTGCCTGTAATTCCAGTGGCTAGGCTGAAGCAGAAGGATCGCAAGTTCAAAGCTCCTCTCAGTAAAAGCGAGGTGCTGCTACTCAGTGAGACCCTGTCTCTAAGTAAAATATAAAATAGGGCTGGGGATGTGGCTCACTGGCCAAGTGCTCTCCTCAGTATGCCCCTCTCAAAAATTTAGAAAAAATTATAAATTTTTTTTCATAATCTTATTATTATAGACTAATAGGGATTCATAATTTCTTCTGAGCTTGGATTTTCCATAAAACACATTTGTTTTTTAGAAATAGGTGAAAATACATACCTTGAAATAATTATTTAAGATCTTTTATTTTATAGTATCAGATGATATGTTTGTTTGTGTGTGTGTGTGTGTGTGTGTGTGTGTACTGGTGATTGAACTCAGGTTCAGTAGTTGCATGCTTGGGAACTATTCTATCCCTGAGCTCTGTCCCAGGCTCTCTCTCTCTTTTTTTTTTTTTTTGAGACAGGATCTCCCTATGTTACCTATATTGGCCTTAAGCTTGTGATCATGCCTTCTCAGCCTCCTGAGTAGCTAGGACTAAGATGTGTATCATGGTGCCTGATTCATTGTTCATTTAAGAAGCTAAAAACCACTTCAGACATTTTCTCTTTCATAGCAATATTCCTAGTAAACAAACATACGAAACTGTCTTATAAGCAAAAATATTTTATAACTTTTTTTGATACTAGGGATTAAACCTAGGGACACTCAACTACTGAGCTACACCCCCAGCACTCTTTTGTATATTATTTAGAGACTGGGGCTCACTGAGTTGCTGGCTTTGAACTTGTTATCCTCCTGCCTCAGCCTCCCCAGCCACTTGGTTTACAGGTTGTGCCACAGTGCCTGGCTTAATATTTTATAAGTTTTTGATGGAAATAAACATTTTGGTGGTAACATTATGACACTTCAGCAAATATGGTTAATGGGAAGAAAAGTGGACTATTAAAAGTGGTTTAGAGTTGGAGGCTAAGGTTGTAGCTCTGTGGTTGAGTGCTTATTTAGCATGCTTAACCACCTGGGTTCCATTACCAGTACTACATAAGGAAAAAACTTAATATTTCTATCACAGTTCCCAAGAACAGCCAAAAAGAAAGAAGAAATGGAAAACAAAACAAAAAACAAAAGAGTGTGTGCTTTATGGATATATGTATGTATGTTATAAGTAATATATTATTCTATATTACTTATAATATCAAATTTTATTAGTTATAATGCTGTTGGCCAAGAGAGTTCAGTGATAATGAGTCAATGTTATATATATGTATGTAAAATTTACATTAGTAAGATAATTTTAAACAACATAAGACAAGATTATGTATTAATCTGGTAATGAAATTTTTATAGCTGAGATTTAATGGGAATTTAATCCTGTATTTCTTTTGATGAGGAATGATTTTTTAGTATTTGCTATAATTTAGTAATAACAGGAAAATGAAGAATGATGAACATGAAGGATGGTAGTCTATATGGATTTTCTTCATTGAACATTGTAACTGTTTTTTTTTTTTTTCAAGAAAGAGTGAGAGAGGAGAGATTAGTTTTCAGTGGACACAACATCTTTGTTGGTATGTGGTGTTGAGGATCGAACCCGGGCCGCACGCATGCCAGGCGAGCGCTCTACCGCTTGAGCCACATCCCCAGCCCCTGTAACTGTTTTTTTTTGTGTGTGTTTTTTTAATATTTATTTTTTAGTTTTTGGCGGACACAACATCTTTGTTTGTATGTGGTGCTAAGGATTGAACCTGGGCCACACGCCAATATTTGAGAAATGTAATATGAAAGCTTCAGTGGCCCTTTATTAAAGAGAAGCAAGCATTGAAAAGAATTGTTTTTAGTTTTTGATGGACCTTTATTTTATTTATTCATATCTGGTGCTGAGAATTGAACTTAGTGCCTCTCACACATGCTAGGCAAGTGCTCTACCACTGAGCTACAACCCCAGCCAGAGAAGCAAACATTTTGATAAAAATCCTACTAGACTATTCTGCAGCATAAAAATTTTCAAAATTAGAAATTGGAATTTACTTTGTTTCTGCTACTATTTTGTTTGTTTTTTTTTAAAGACTTATAGGAGCATACTAATATTTTTATATCTAAATCTTTATATTTAGAGTCTACATTAACATTTTAAAACGTAATTCCTGTTTATTATTCTATTATGCAAAATATTATTGTGCATTTTTTGTATATGTGTGTGCTGTTAAGATTACTGTATTGACATACCTTGCTAAGTTTTTTTCATATCCATAATTATTTTCATATCTTCAAGTATTATTGGCATTATGTCTAATATTTGTATAAGCTTTTTAATGCATAATATCAAATTGTTTTCTGGAAAGATTTTGGTAATGTATATTTGTGAAATTGCTAAAACAAAGTAATTAACATTTACATTACCATGTATGTATCAATTTTTTATGTGGTGAGTTTGAGAACACTTAAAATCTACTTTCTTAGCAGTTTTCAAGAAAATAATAATTGGGCTGGGGATATGGCTCAAGTGGTAGCTCGCTTGCCTGGCATGCGTGCAGCCCGGGTTTGATCCTCAACACCACATACAAACAAAGATGTTGTGTCCACTGAAAACTAAAAAATAAATATTAAAAATTCTCTCTCTCTCTCTCTCCTTCCTGAAAAAAAAAAAAAAATTATTATTACCATATTAGTCACCATGTTGTGTAGATTTCTTGAATTTATTTGTCTTATCTCTGAAATTTTATATCCTGTGGCCAAAATATTCCCAATGTGTTTTAAATTCCTTATTTGGAAAAGATAAAGAAAGATTTTGAGGTGAAAGAACAAATAACTATATGTATATCACCTTCCTCAATTTCTTTTTAATTTTCTTGTTTTATTTCTTTTTCTCTTTTTTACTTATGCTTTTTAATGAGGTTGTTTTAGTAAAACTTATATTTAACTTGATTTTGATGCTTTTCTTTTGAATTTATTTTTTTCAGAATTGCACATTACAAATACATTGTTGATGTTTTGCAATCATTTTAATATTTAAGAAGTATTATGTATATTTAATCTGTTCTTAGCCTGTAAGCCTGATGTGTGTTTTTGAGAGTTACTTGTTTGAGAGGGATACTTGTTTTTCTCCCATGGGGTTGCTTTTTTTTTTTTTTAATATTATTTTAGTTGTCAATGGATCTTTGTTTTATTTATTTATATATGGTGCTGAGAATTGAACCCAGTGCCTCACACATGCCTGGGGAGCGCTACCACTGAGCCACAACCCCAGCCTTCATTGGGATACCTTTAACAAAAGTGGGGATGTTAGCTTATAGCAAACTAAAATAGAGGTAAAAGAGAGTATTTTTAGAAAGTGGAAGGTTGTTTAAAACTTAAAATTGATTGCAAGGATTATCAAAACAGAAGTTTTCAATATCCATCACTATAAAACTGCTGGCTAGCTTATTTAGAATAGGAGACATAGAATATGTTAAGATTTTTCTGAAAATAAGTTGCCAGGATTGATGGAATAGAATGTATTCTTGAGAATTTATATAAGTGGGCTAAAAGATAACATAAGTTATGAGATGATACCGAAGATTTTAAAAGGGTTAATAATTTTTGGTAAATCATATGAGTTATGAATTTTAACTTTGTTGATTGAAAATGCAGTCTTACCACAATAGTCTCTTAATGACTTTATCTAGGAGCATCTTGTAATTAATAAGTATGGTAATGCTTTTATTTCCTATACATATGGTCAGGTTTTGTAGTTTTTATAAAGTACATACTCATTTTCCCTCATTAGCCTCTTAACATTAGGAGAGTTCATTCACAATATTATGAAGCAATATTGATAAATTATTAATTAAAGCCTCTGCTTGTATTTCCTTTATTTTTGCATATTGTTCTTTTTCTGTCCCAGAATCCCATCTGGGATAACTAATTACATTTTATTATCATGTTTATTTATGCTCTTCTTGGCTGTTGCCATTCTCTTAGATTCCCCTTACTTTTGATAATGTTCATAATTTTAAGCAGTGCTGATTAGGTATTTTGTAGAATGTTCCTTATTTGAGATCATCTGTTGTTTTTCTCATGATTAATCTAAGATTAGGCATTTTTAAGGGGAAAATCATATAGGTAAATTGAAATATCGTCATGTCATGTTTGAGCTGTATAATATCAAGTGACTTACAAGTGTTTAAGTTAACTTTAATCACTGGCTGAG